TTTTTCTTATATTGGTGGTACACTTTCATTTACATTCTCAATAAAAGATCTTTTGAACTCTTAAATGAGGCCTCATTTGATATTGCCATATATACCCTCAGAAGCACAAATACAGACTTTTACATCTAGTTTGTTAGATCCTGGGAAAACATGAAGAATCCATTTAGGCAACACCACAGACAATAACACGTACTTTATACACATTTCCAGTACGTTATATTGCAACATGTACCTTGACCAATATTAGTGGCTCCAAGAGCAATATCACTGGCGTAATGACCAATGTGACAGGTGTCAGGACCAATTTAATATACTGGTCTGAAAACCCACAGTGCACTGATCTTTCATTGGTCTTGTATTCCTATTTTTTCCCTCTGCATGGATGGGGCCTGCAAATACCCCCTCTTAATTCCACTCCTCCGTGAAAACCTCTTCAGGATCCTCACTCAGAATTCAGTCTGGCATTGGGATATGAGTAAAATCTAACCATCTCAGTCCATTTTCCACAGGCTCTGCAAGTGTCCTTCATAGACTGGTGCAGGAAGCGGCCAGTATAACCTGTGCTGGAGGTATCACCTCCTGTGAGCTGGAGCGCTGTGTTCTTTTCCTCTGTCCTTTGGGCTGACAGGTAAAGGAGAAGGCTGCTCCTATTCCTGCCATCGGTGCTGTTGTTGCAACTGCTGTTGGTTTTGTTCTTCATTTTGTTCCTCATTGGAGGACTTAGTTAGAGCTGCTGATGCTATCTCTGTGCTGCTGAGAAGGCTGGCAGCTGCAAAGTATGGATTAAAAGGCAAAAAAAAACTGCAAAGCAGCAGGAAAAAAATAAATAAGTCTCAGAAATCACCTCCAAAGTGGTGAAGGCACACTCTCAGAACAAGTCCTATGAGTAAAACTCTCTCGCTAAGGCAAGAAAACAGCTTGTATTTCTTAGTTTACAAAGTTTTCCAGCCTGTCAATTACTAAGGCCTGTCAATTTCCACAGTCCTCTCATCTTGCTCTACCTAGTAAGCTCCAGGAAGCCTGTGAAATCCTTGCCCTGGCAATTAAAGTCAGTATTGAGTGTAAAGAAAATGCGCACAACTGCCTTTTAGCACATGTTGATAACAAAGCAGTCTGTCCTACAAGAGTTCTTTGAATGTTACCAAATATTCTCAAGTTAAATCCAGAAGGCAGTGGGTTTAATGTTGGGTTCCTGACACGCTGGCAATTTTGGCTCTTTTGACCTGTCAGATCCATTGACACTCACCCAAACTGGCAGTTAAAATTCCCCACTTGACATTTCATACCAACCACGGTTGATAACACTTAATATTATTTTGTGTTTGTATATACAGCATTGTGTTACTGGTATCTTATGAGCTGCATCATTTATAATAAATAAATTAGACTTCCCTTTTCAAAGAAGTCAAATGAAAAGACATTGTATAGATAGTCAGCTGTTGTAAAACATAATATAAACCAAATAAAAAGATAATTCATTCATATCTGTGCTATGTTTTACAAAATGATAATTCCTCCACATCGTTACAGTAAAGTAGCAAAGCTAAGCAAAATATCCATGTTGTTAAATGACCTGATATTGAAAAGTAGAACAAGTTGTTCTCGTGATGAAATAACCAAATTAATTTGCCCGACCTTTAGTTAAGATGTTGATTGAAGCAGGATTTGTAATGTAAGACTGATGCAGGCATATATCACAGTTCTTAAAATGTGGGCATTACATGCAGAAAACGACAAGTGTTGTTGTTTCTTGACAGAATACAGTTGAAACTGTACCAAAATTGAATGTTTATGGTTGGAAGACAGACTGTTCGTGGACTACAAACATTATTGAAATTTGAATGGAATAACTATCATTGGATTTTTGCTTTGCAGATTCTTTTGTAAGATGTACACTTTAAAGGAGTACATAGTTCCTCTAGGGAAAGCATCCTAATTCTAAAGACCATCAATTTATTGATAAAATGGTAGAATTTCAATAAATGAGCAAAGGAAAATTAAAATTTATGATGTGAACACATTTCCCACAACAGAAAGATTGAGGATAGAGTTAGCTTTACAAACATCAGTTTTTTCTTGATTCTCTACAGGAAATATGGAAGATTCCAATAATGGTATCGAGGCTTGTAGGAGTGGGTGGGTGTAACATTTACAGGAAGAAAAGAGTTGCTTATAAGAGGTTACCTACCAGACATTTATTTTATTTTTAAATTTAAGGTTGATATCTAGTTCTTCCACTGTAAGTATATTTCCTATCAGTAATCACAGACAACAACATCGAAAGTTTGTCATCGTGGTACATTGGCTGAAGAAGAAGGTGAAGAGGCAAATGAAGCTTGTAAAAGAAAAGAGTTGGCAAGAAAGCAGAAAGTGGGAAAAAAATTACTTGTCTAAACTATTTAAAAAGACTTGCTGTGCAGGCTGTATAATATGGAGTCATTTTTGTTTGTTTAAAAACTTGTAGATCACAAAAAATGCATCCATTGAAGCTTTTAAAATCATTTTGAAAGTTTTACCAATGTGTCATTGTATATTCCATTGCCGGCTGAGACCAGAGATTTATTATTAAAATAGCAAATCAAATGAGTTCCTATTTCAGGTCAAGAAGCAAGTTTTGTTGTAGGACAAATCAATGTTACCCAAAATCAAACAGATAATTAATTCATGTCTATACTATATTCAGCACAATGGCAATTCCTCTTTATCATTCCAATGAAGAATTAATTGAAGCTAAATTTTCAACTGACATTAGGTATTTTATACTACGCACAATGTTTAATTCCATTCCTACAGTGTAGTTTCATGAACAAGACCTACTTTATTATAACTGCAGGAAATAATTGCAGTAAAATGGAGATCCTGCATTCAATCATTGTTAGTGAGGGGAGCTGTAGATTGGCAGATGTTGGTAAATTTTTATTTTATGGGCAGTAAAAGCAAAGATGAAATGGCTAGTTTTCTCTCTGCTTTTACAATATATTTCACATTTTAAAATGTGATGGGGCCAAAAACATGTGAGAGAGCCATATGGAGACAAGGAAATCATATTCTTTTCTTTCCTACTTTGCTTTATGCTGGCCATTTATGCTATGATAGATTAAAATATAGCCACAAATAACATTGCAAAATGAACAGCTAAACAGCGCAGCCTGTGTAAAACTTTTTACACTTTTATTTCAATTCTATTTCAAGGTTTTGCAACCAGCAGAAATAATAAAATCCAAAAAAAAAGAACAATGTGCAACCTGGAGGCATGAATGGTACTTATGCCATTCAACGTCAAATCATTTCAAATTATCTTCATAATAGACAAATCTATACCCTAACAATGTTTGTTTTAAAACATATCTCTTAAGAGACTGCTCGCATAGTTTGATGAAAATTTATTTAATTCAGAATCAGCCCAGAATGATGGGATCAAAACTTTCTTCCTTCCAATGACTGTTAAGAGTTGTTAAATGCAAGTTCTTCCTTTTAAAATTAATTTAGCTATTATCATCTAAATCACTTGAAAGTAAGATTCCACTGATAGCCAACAGTTCTTTCTGACATTTTTCTGCATATACGGGTTAAGTAGATTATGTATAGAGCAAGCACCTATGAGATGCATTACTTACAATGACATGCTCATTTTGAGACTGGTCAAGTACCCTCACACCTCAGCAAAATAAGAACAACGAACATGTGCTGGTTAACATCAACCAGAAATCTGAACTTCAACAGGAAATCTGAGAACAGTGCAGCGGAAAGAGCAGATCCTGGTCATGACAGATCTCAAATCTCTTTTCCTCTTCACTGTCATTGAGGAATGCCAAATTTCCAAATGCAGTGAAAAGGAAAATCTATCCAGATGTAGTTGCAAAGTATATACTTAATATATTCCATCAATTGTAGGTTACGTAGATAAGTCTGATAATTCCAGATGCATTGTACCCGACTGTTATCACAGACTAGGATACCAAAAAAAGTTTGCATTTTCATAAGCATATTCCTCAGCCTCAGATTGTCTAATGCAATTTGCAGCCAGTGAGGTACCTTTTTTCTTTTGAATTTTGACATATGTAATTTAGAAAATGCAGGAGAAAACTCGCATATCAGGTACCAAAACTGTAATTTGATAGTCATCTGATTGTAGGTGATGTTTGAGGGGTGAATACTGATCAGGATATTGGGGAGAATTCTCTTGTTTTTATTCTGATTAATTTCATGCTGAAGTTCCTGGGTTTGGATTTGTACCCACAAACCTCTTATTTTGGGGGTGAGAATGCTAAAATGAACCTTCTGCCAATTCTCTGAACCTTTCTCACCAATTATTGAAGAAAACGTCAAACGAAGTCATGGACTAACACTTCTTTTTTTCATTATAGAATTATAGCAAGTTTAATTTTACTTAAATGCTGAGTAAGACAGAATTAATGTATTGGGCTAGCAGATAGGGATTCTCATATGCAGTTTCAGGAGGAAAAAACATGAAGAAAAAATTCAGAGAAAGTAGTAGCTGGGAGACATACACTGAAGCTTCCAACTCTTTTGAGACCCCAAAGCTTAAAACTAAACCTAAAACTAAAAAAAAACTGGAAAGTCTGGTCTGTGAGAACTGGTCAAAACCAGGCTGACTCCATTGTTCCAACTTTTGAAAAAAACCCCAAGGCCTTTTCTAAAGACACCTTGGTACTTCTGCCTTAGAAACTCTCTTCACAAAAAAACCCAGGACAAAATAACCTCTTAAAGTGAAAGTATCATCACAGATGAAATAACTTAAGTTCTTGAGACATGGCTAAAAATAAAAAAGTAGACTGTTAATTTATCATTTCCCTAAAAAGTTCAATCCTAAATTATCTTACCCAAAAAAAGCGATCTCATATACTGATCTGAGTTTGTAACCAATAATTGGTGAGAAAGGTTCAGAGAAGGGCGAGGCGGTGGGGAGTCCCGGAGCAGGGTGAGGCGAGCGGGTAACGGGTGAAGTCTGGCGCAGGGGCGACAGTCCTGGAACTTACCTTGGAGCAGCTGAGAGCTGGTACAGAGTGGACTGGAGGTTTGGATCGGAGCTGGGCGGCTGTTGGACTGGGGTCTGGAACGGGCGGTCAGACCATGTGAGGAGGCCCTGTGTTGAGCTACTAAAATGTAATGTTTATTTGAAATTTTTTTTACCTGAAATGTAATGTTAATCCTTTAACAGTGTCTTCTTTCTAACTTATTTTTTAAACTCTGTAAAGTAATGCAACTACTTTTTATTCCTCTTTTGTATGCAAGATTTGTACCTAGGTACTTGTATCTGAGATGGCACCAGAAAAGGCAGACATTGTATAAGTTGTTCATTGTACTTCTATAATGGAGTACACGTTACAATAAAAGGATATTCTATTCTTTTGTTTATATTTTAACTATAGTGTTTAAATAAGTTGTGTTTTGCTCAACGTTAAGTAGTTTGACCAGTCACATCGCATCCGGAACATGGCACTTCTCATCTGCCTTTAAAATAAGAAAATATTAGGGTTTAGGCTACCTTTGTAAAAAATGTTGAGTGGCTCTTGTCTGATCCATAACACAACATTATGAAATAAAACTAAAAATGCTACATATATACAGCAGGTCTGGCAGAATCTGTGGAGTGAGAAAAAGCAGAGTTAATTTTTCGAGCCCAGTGACACTTTGTCAGAACACTGGACTTGAACGTTAACTCTGCTTTTTCTTCCACACATGCTGCCAAACCTGCTGAGTTTCTCCGGCACTTTCTGTTTTTTTTTGTTTCAGATCTCCAGCATTCAATGTCCTTTGTTTTATCTTCATTGGTGTAACTGAAAATGTATTATAGCGAGTTTGCTGCCTATTGATAGAAAATTCTCTTGCTGTGTCTCTACAGGACCTCCTGAGGCAGTAGTGACTGTGTCTGGGCTGAAACACCATTGCTTGGTTTCATATAAAGTAGAAATAAATGTATTTTCTGAAGGCCTAATTTCCTCTGATTACCCACTGCCATCAACACCAACTGTGTACAAAGAGTGCAAACATGGGATTTAAATGGTTAGCAGATTTTGCTGTATTCTTGATGCAATTTTAACTTGCTCATCTCAACTTCCCTTAAATCTGGAATGGAAATGCTTTCTGTCCCAAAGGAACTGGGCCATATTTAAATGGCAATGTCATGCCCTGACGATATAATCAATACAAATAATGTTAACTGTAAGTCTTACTAGTCTCTACAGTCTCAAAACCCACCAGCATAACCCAAGTATTAATTGGAGCACAGTTTCTTCAAGGTAGGATGAGTTAAAAGTCAAACTCATATATTGTGAGCATTTGAATTGTGTTATACCAACAACAAAAAAGACTTTCATCTATATAGCACTTCTCACGATCGCTAGATTACTCAAAGCAATCTTATACCCAAAGAGATACATTTATATATGTGTTGTAACGCAGGAAATGCAGTTGCACGCTGCAAACTTCCACACACAGCAAAGTGGTAATGAGTAGGTAACCTGTTTTTAGATGAAATTTGAGAATAAATATTGATCTCAATCCGAGGGATAAATTGATTTTAAAGAAGTAGTGCCGTGCGGTCTTTTACATCCACCATGAAGGCAGATGGAATCTGATTTATTACCTTAGCCAAAGACAGCAGTTCCAGCAATGCAGTACTCCCTGAGTATCAACCTTGAATTTTGGTCTCAAGCCTGGTGGGGGCCTTAATACAGAAGCTTGTGACCCAGAGACAATAGTGCTACAAGGTGAACCACAGCAGACACAACAGAGGTGCTAAGAAATGTTTATCTAACAAAGCCCTTATTTGTATTACATCCATTTATTCCATTCTGAACACATATAAATAGATTATAAAATTATCTTGACATGCCCATCTAAATAAGTGACAGCCAAAACATATAATTAAGGGCTTACAACAAGGTAACATATCCACGAATCAAAGGAGATTTTAGCCTGTCAACACTTTCCAATGCATCCAATAAAAAATTAAATTACATTTCACTTATGTTCTAGATCATTTCCTTCTGTAAATTTCCCTTTTTCAAAAGACATTGTCATTTGCCTTCTGTTTATCATACACCATCTCAAAGTAGTTTGTTGAAGTAACATTATGCTTCGTTACACAAAAGCTGTTTAAAAACACTTTTATATTTTTCAACCTACAGTAGACACGCTTCCCTTTTCCACATAGTACATTTTATAAATGGCTTACTATTTACGGAACTGATTGGACTGTGGACCAATGGAAATTTGGGTCTCTGATTCTGCTTTTGGTTTAAAGTAAATGCATTAAATAACTGTTTTAATTGGTGGTCAGGACATTCATAACACCGAGGCCATGGAGATTTTACAGTATGACATAGATTATAAAAAGGCAAGAGTCATTCAGAGGTCATTTTCCCTACACAGAGCCAATTTAAACAATTAATGTAATGGCACCTTAATTAGACATGAGAACATTGTAAAAAATACTTGTGAACATGATCCTTAATCTTCTACAATGCGCATTATTAATTACTTTTTGAGTAGTGCAAATTCATATGCCACTCTGTAATCCTCTGGTATCATACAAATGGAGCTTGAGGAAACATTAATTTGAAACTCACGTATTCCATTACTTGCTTTCCTGAGAATGTTCAACTGCATGCCGTCTGCTCTAGAATCCCTGTGGACATTTAGTATTTTCACTTCTTCACAACACATTTGTAACTAGCTTCAAAATATGTTATAGATTCCAGTCAGTTTGACTGAATTTGGATTTTGCCCAGTTTTCAATTATAAAGACTGATGTGCGAAGCTAATGCAAGACATCTGCTATTTCATAACATCCCAAAGTAATCCGATCTTTATGGGTTCCAGAAATTCTACCCATGCAGATATTCACAGAACTGTGGTAAAGGGATGGACTTTTTGGACTGAACTAAGATCTAACAGGTTTTGATCCCATGTGCAAAAAGAGCACTCAGACTAAGGCGGGGTTGATTCAGATTCGTGGGTAGTTGCTTCTTCTGCCAACATCACTGCAGCAGGTTGTTTGCATCTGTTTCAATTCCAAGCTATCCTGAGAAATTGCACCAAAAGTTCACCTGAATAGCAACGAGAGCTACATTTTCTGAGCAGGCATAGGCTCCCTGTGAACCTACTTTGGAAACTTTATCTGAAAAGACAAATGGCAATTGATGCAAGACAGAGTGACTGATGTTGTCAAGGAAATTTTGAGGGATTCCAGAAAAATTGCTGAGTGAAATCTTCCCAGGTCCTAAACAATTATGGCAAAGAATTTTGGAGAATCACATGAGAAATTGAACGAGGCATTTCTCAATGTTGAGACCGACAAGTTGCATTTTTTAACTAAGTCCCAAGTGTCGAGATAAGATTCTTGCTTGTGAGCCACAGGAGACCTATTATGGGTATTATCACTGACTATCACCCTCATTATTACTTAATTTTGTCTCATTAATATGCAGTCACCTAATATACCAAACACCAGATAGAAACTAGATACTGAAAATTCCTAACACGAAGAACAGATACCTGGCAACTCCAGCTCATCACTTCTTCCTCTGGACTTCCATCCCAGATATCCACCATCAACTTCACAGGGCACATTCAAAGGACAGTGGCTACACACACCTCATGTCTATGGATGCTAGCTGCTGACATGTTTAAGCCTCATTGCATCATCATGGTACAGTGTGCTTCTGCATTTTAAGCTACACTTTGGAGCACACCAGAAACTTTCATTGCAATGCTGTTGCAAGGACACAATGCACGCAGGGACAGTCACTTACCTCATGAATTAGGTATCTATGTTATTAAGCTGTGGGCTGCTTGCCCTGCAGTAGATGATGCCACTGCAAACAAAAACCATTGTATTCCATGAGGCAGTTGACCATCTCAGTCCATGTCTATTCTATCCATTCCTGTCCCATTCCCACTAAAAGTTTGTGTGATCTTGAAATATATACTTTGGTGGCTCTGCTTCAATTAGCAATGTTCTATTTTTTTCTTTATCACTTTAAAACAAAATTGTTAACATTATTTCCTGACATTTTTATGACTTACAGTTGTCCATAATTTATGAGTTTATAAGCATCATTTTTAGTAGTTTTTTTCATCACATAATTTTGGCCTCCTCATTGAGGGTTTGCTTTGTCAATTTAATTTGCACTAAGCAATCCTTAATAAATCATTTATCTACAACCATATATCCTTCAGTCCATTCTCCAACAACTGTAGTATTTATGATCCAATTGTTATCATTCCAAGCCAAAAGCTTGTTCTGATCTGATTACATGCAGACCATGCTACTTTCCAGTTTCTAACTTGCCCCAAAGTTCTTCAGTTATCAACTAAATCAATTTCCTTTTGTACATGATATTTTAGTAACTGTTGGTTCTATTTTCTGGCCTGGTTCTCAATGCGATAAGTTCAGATATTAGCATTGTTACATCTTTTAAACCTAACGTGCATAGTCATTCAGAGATAATCGGAACTGCAGATGCTGGAGAATCTGAGATAACAAGGTGTAGAGCTGGATGAACACAGCAGGCCAAGCAGCATCAGAGGAGCAGGAAAGCTGACTTTTCAGGCCTAGACCCTTAAGCCCTCATGGAACACATTATTCGGATTCATTAATGTAACAGATTCAAACATGTTTCCTTTCAAAGAAGCATTGGCCTTTTTTACTAAACCCATGATCCTTTCTGTAAGAAGACAAAGCATTTGTTCAGAACCTCCTGCTCTGTAGCTGCCTTCATACCTCACCACAGTGCTTGTTCAAAATAGGTGGTAAGGATAAGCCCAGCAATTTCAGATCAGTCAGTTTAACTTCATTGGTGACAAAACTTTAAGAAGCAATTATACAGAATAGAGTTTAGAATCATATTGAAAAAGGTGGGTTGTTTAGGAAGAGCCAGCACGGATTTCTAAAGGAACTGTGTATTTGACTAACTTGAAGTTTTTTGAAGAGGTAACAGGAAGGGTAAGGATAATGCTGGTGATGTGGTGTACAGGATTTTCAGAATGCCTTCTGATACACTGCCATACATGGACTTGAGAGAAAAGTTATAGCTTCTGAAATAAAAAAGGATAGTAGCAGCATGGTT